CTTTCAGTTAACCGATGTTTCGGTTGATCGATATTCAGATAATTGATTTTCTACTATATTGGAATATAAAATCTACTCATGTAATGAAAGTGCTGCAAAATTACCTTATTCATTTCTACATTATTCCTATTAGCTTTTTCTATATACATTTAAGAGAGAATTTTAAATTTTATAAGAAATGATTAATGTGGTAAATAAAATTGTAAATGCTTATATTTTGATTCTACTAACAGCAAAATTGTAGTATGTAAAAATATTCATTGTATATAATTATGATCATTAAAAATATGACTGATCCTTGCATGTCAAAATGTTTACAAGTTCTATTAATCAAGACACTGCTATCAATGAATGTGCAAATGTTGCTGATAGAGAGTTCAGTAGAGTGTTCTAATGTTCACTGTCATCTCCCATTAAAATAGAAGTTATAAACTTTTCTCTAGCAAAAAATTATCATCAGTCAATATCTATTAGCAGCTCATTATGGTATAAAGCAGTGTTTCTCAACCTCTAACGAATCGTCGTCCCCTTCAACGTAGTATTGCCCCCTTCACTTCAAAATTTCGATGCCGAGGGCCAAGACTAACACCAAATTCATACTGCATTGAATAGACTAGTGACTAGTATAATGTTATTTGTTTAATTATTGTATGATATAACGAATAAAATATCTAATTAGTCTTAATATGATGTTTACTATATCGCCCAGGAAATTGTTTTTCGCCCCCTAAAATATAAATTGTTACTAATCGCCCCCTCAACAAGGAAAAACGCCCACATGGGGGCGATATCGCCCCCGTTGAGAAACACTGGTATAAAGCAATGTAATGATGTCAATGAACAGCTTAACAAGTTGTATCATATGACACTCCTTCATAACAATGCCCAATCCCTTAAACAAAATATTTTTCAACTGCCAATCCATGAAAAAATTTCACTGGCTTGCAGAAAAATATTTGACTGTACTGATGCCAGCAATTGGTAACATTTAAATAGTATTCTAGACATATTATATGTAACAGATTAAGTGCAATATGTCTTGAATACATAACAAAGTAAGCACAGTAAGCCTATTTAAATGTCACCTATAATCAACTGCTGCATCAGTACAGTCCAATATTTTTCTGTGAGAAAGTGCTAGATAAGCATATGTAAGCATAATTCACAGTCACATATAATTAATTACTGGTCCACATAAAATTATCAATAATTTTACAGGTCTACAACAAGAAAAAAATTGATAAACACTGCTTCAGCATAGCAAACAGAATCTACAAGCTTTCCATTGGATAATGTTGAAATATTGAAAAATCTAGCATGTAGTTGTAGTTTGAATTTGGCTTCCAACAATTTCTTGTCCTGAAGGAGCATTTGTTATGACTTTGTTTCATGTTAAATAAAAATATCAAATATAATGATGAACAGTGGTTCAAACAGCAGACATCCTACCCATCTGAGATGAACAACTCTTTGCATGTTATGACAAGTGCTTCAATTTTCAAGGTGATTATATTGAAAAGTAGTGTATCTTTGACACTTTTGATGCAAATTTCAGTTTCCTTTAATAAAATCATTTTATTTGTGAATACTGCATACTTTTTCCCGATTAACCTATGCATTAAAGATTTTTGTTAATCAACTGTTCATTTTTTAAAGTTGTTAGTATAAAACATCTAAGAGTTTATTTTCATTTACTTTATTATTTCAGATCTGATGATGAAATTAAAATGATTTTATAGATATTGATAAATTTAAATGAAAATGATCAAATAATGTAATTTCATTAATTATTGATTGTTAAAAATAGCTATTAGAAGATTAATGAATATTAAAAACCTATTTTTTACATATTTTATGTTGAAAATATATCCCTGTTTGCTATTTTTCATTCTACTGCTTTTAGAAAGAAAATCATAAACTTTTCAACTGTCATTTTAAAATACTTTTCTTATTATAACATTATTATATTTAAATCAGAGAAAAAAAATTAAATATTTATCTAACAGTTATTCTAAATTAAATTGTTTCAAAAATATTTAAGAAGTTTAAATCATATTAACTTGCATAAACCCTAAACCATATTTAAAAAAACATTTTCGGCAAAAATTTTAAACTGAAACTGCTTTTAATATATACTGTAGCTGTATAATTATCAGAACAATAATACAGATTACTTATTAAAAAAAATCACAAACACTTTCAGGTGATTAAATTTTATATTTTCTTTCTAAATGGATTGAAAACATGTTAAAGATAATTATAAGACAAAAGCTACAGAAATATTTCTATTTAAAATAGTTAATTTAAGTAAACATTTTAAAATAAATATTAAAAAAAAATACAAAATTTTTAATTTTATTGCAAATAATTTTTGTACTCATTTATTAGCATTTCAAATTCAGCTTAAATCAATCAATAAAACATTAATTATTTTTTGTTTAAAGAACTTTCAAAATACAAAGAACTAAATTTTTTGCTATTATATATTTTCTTTACATTTTAAATAGAAGTAATTTTTTAAAATTTTATAAAGAAAAAATTCTGTGGATATATTTTATATGTAGTACTAACTCAAAACCACAGATGACCTTACATGTAGGCAAAAAAGGTATTGCCTAGGGCTTTTAGAAAGCTTTGCACTTTCAGGGTTAATTAATTTAATAATCAAATTGGTAATTAGTGAAAATGTAATTGTGTCAATATCTGTTGCATCTTCAGAATGATAATTTTCAGAGTTAAAATTGATCAAGAACTACCTTTGATCAGCAATGTGTCAAGAGAGAATTTCTTCACTTTCAATCTTGCCCATTGAAAGAGATATTGCTGCAGAACTGGACTTTTTTCTGTAATTGGTGAATTCAGTGCTGAAAATCTATTGTATACATATTTATTACTTTATTATGTGTTTTACTGTCTGTTTCTATATTAAAAATGTTCAAATTTCTGTAGACATAAATAAAACTATCCTCTATCTTCATTGCTCTTTTAATAGGCTTCAGAAATAAATTTTACCTAGGGCCATCTCTACTTAAAAAACAATTTTAACAAGTCTAAAACATTAATAATGGTACTTATCTTGAATATAATCTGGTTGCACAAGCTTAATTAAATTTAATTTTAGCACTAACTTTAATTATAAATAATTTAAAGAAAATATAATTAATATTAAGAGAGACAGTAATCCACTCATTAACAGGAGGTAATTATTTCCTATTGTTTTTTATTTCAATTAGCATATAAAAAGTTGCTTATTTTGATGTGTTCTTCTCTTTAAATTACAGGTAAATTTATTGCTTTGAGAAAGCATATAATTATCGATGTACAGATTATTTTTCCCTATCTCAGACACCTATAAATATAATATCTTACTTAATTTTAATTTTCTTTTTATTTAACTTAGTTTCATTTTGAATGTAATAGAAATACTATGAAACATGAATATGAATATAAAATTTATTAAATAAAGTATTTCTCTGTCTAGTACAGTTATTTAATTCATTCTGTCTGATTATATATGAGACACACTCATTATCTTATTCTCTTATGAGACATCTTAAAAGAGAAGCCTTCTGTAATTCAAAACATAATCAATGATTTATGTTGACTAAAAAAACTCAAGGGATCAGTTCTTTCAAATCCATTACATTTAAATTTTGCTACATTTAAAATAAAGCTAAAATATTCACTATTTTAAAGATAAAACTCGGCTTACAAAGTCTACAACAGTTCATTAATTATATATTAAGATTCTAAATTACAATATACTCTGCTTTAGTAATACATATATTTTACTGAATATTTTAAACTTTGGAATCTGAAAAAAACAACTTAATCAAATGAAAAATCTTTTCACTATTGAATGAAAAAATTTTATGAAATTACAAAACTAGAAAAATTTGGAACAAAATCAATTGAACACAATTTTTTCCAAATTCTGATAAGAAATTTTCTACCATCAATTTTTAAAAATCCCACTGTTTTATAATATGTACTGGTTTATAGCATTTTAATACTTTTAATAATTTAAAAAATTAATTAAAATCTTTAAATGATAATAATAAAGTTTAAAAAGATTTATACCTAACATCTTTAAAATCAATTTATATAGGAAAAAATTATTCAGTGAAAGTGTCGCAGGATAAAAATTCTGGATTTTATCCAAAATAAATTTTTATTTAGTTTAACTTTCTTTTAAGATTAAAAAAAGAACTGAAAGTACCTTTGAGAATAACAATCTAATCTTTAATTTTTAAATTTAATATTAAAAATTGCTATTCATATTTAAGATTAAGCCATTAAGATATAGCCACTGTAAAATTTTCTCAATTTAATCTTCACTTCAAAGATTAATACACACTTTTAATTAAATCCTTTATTAATTTTAATAAAGCTAAATTTCTAACTTTTAGAAAAATACATATTAAAAATTTATGCTTAACTTGATTAATGACAAGGATTTGTAGAGATTAATTTATTATTGATGGGACTATTGCACAAGCATCTATATGAAATTTATTTTTCTCCAGAGGCTATATATATATTGCAACTAGGCTTTTTTCTTTAATAAAAAACTATTTATTATTATTTGATGAATAAAATATTTTATATAAGCATATACAGTACTATATATAATCATTTTATATGAAAAACCCCACAAAAATTAAATATTTAAAAATAGAGTTATAAAAAAAAGGACTATTTCTCATAATTATAAAAAAAATTTTTTAAGCTTTATTGTCTATAAATGCTGCAAAATGAATCTATTTGTAATATAATAAAGCTTCATAACTAATTTGATGCAAAGAAAAGCAAAAGTTTTAAATTTTCTTTAAAATATTTTAAATTCAAATATATTACATACAATAAGAATCAAAGATTTAAAATGACAACATATATATATCTAGATATAATTGATTTAACATAGCCTTACATGAAATTAAATATTTTCTTTTATGTATATATATAAATTTGAAGAGAGAAAACAATTATAATAAATTTACCTTTTGATGGATGAGCTGGTGCATCAATTAATTCACATGTGCTAAATCCAACTTCTTTTGATAATAGATATTCATTAAACTGCTCAGGTCTCATTTGTATCGACAAATAATTTTTAAAAGTAGTTTCCTGTTAATAAAATATTTAAAGTCAAAAAAAGTCTTTAAATCATGTTGCAATTCTTTAAAATTAAATATTTAATACAAGTAGATTGAATACAAATAAAAGGTTATGCATTAAATTATTTAAAATTGTTAATAAACAAAAACATCCAAAGCATAAATTCAGACTATATAAACCACATAACTTAATCCATCCAAAATAAAAATTAACATCAGGATGAGAAAATTGTTTTGGTCCCAGATGAGATTTCAATCAAATAGATAGTTCTTGTTTATCAATATATAAACAATTTTTTAAATCTAATCTATGTATAAATTATTTAAGTAAAACAAAAACAAAAAAAAAAAAAATTATATTAATTAAAAAGTAAAAGTAAATCCTAATATTTAAATATACCGTTAACTTCTTTTTGCGAACATAAGAAGGCCATGGTTGTGCTTCCAGAATCATTCTTCCTCCCGGTCGCAACTGAGCAAACATTCTCCGGAAAACTCTTTTCACACCTTCGTCACCCCAATTTAAGTGTATCCATTTAGTAAGACTCAAACATAAGATAGTATCAAATTCGGGCCTTTGCATTTCCAAAAATTCATCTGATTCCAATACATAGTTTCCCTATTTTGAATAATTTAAAATCAAAATTTAATATCTCAAAAATTTAAATTTAAATAATTACAAAATCATATAATAACATTCATATATAAACTTCAAATATAGTTAAAATGAAATATTAATTTTCAGTTTTAACATAAATAATTCTTCTGAAATAGCAGTTTACCTTTGAAGAACATTTAAAATAAATATTTTAATACACCAATATTTAATGAGACAACCAATGGACAGTTTTAAAATGTAGGAAGAAACTAAACACTGTAAACATTTGAAAGCTGATATAAATATAAGGTAAAAAAATATTTTAGCATTCAAGCATGAAAAATTGCTTAATTACAGGAAAAAATAACAAAAGACTGTTAAGAGGAATGACCTTCAGAAGATTGATAGAACAGTATGGAAATAAATAATGCAACAAATAAGAAAATAATTATTTCTCTGAATAAACTTAAATATAAAATAAAAATTCATGCATATTACAGCACATTATATTAGAAGAAATAAAACTGCATTAAAAGAAAACAACCAAATTTTCTCTCTTTAAGTTTGTTTTTTTACACAAACATAAATAAATAATATAAATTTGTTTTATTTTAAATCTAATTTTGATAATTAAATCAATACAGAAGAAATATTGTTTAATTTTAAAATATTTAAACATGCTTTTTATTTTATTATTATATTTATTCACTAAGCACAGATATTTATTGTATTCTGAGAACATTTTAATTTTAAACAATCTAATATTTTTATAGTAAATTGTTTAAAAATATATATAGAATATATATATGTAATTATGAAATGTGAAACAATATAATTAATTTTCAAGATAGATGGGCTAAATATGAATTGAAATGATGTGATAAGAATAAGGGTAACTGGCTGAGGCCTATTTAAGGGTAAAGTAAGTACTTAGAACTGGAAAGGAAGGTCAAAATGAGTCATTCACTCTGCATATTTGTAATATTTTATCTACTTTAAAATTTAAAATGTTAAATGACTTCTTGAATATTAATACAACTATGTATCTCTAATAATTAGTCTAAGGAGCATATTATATTATCATCAAAATGTCCAATTAGGTTATTAATCTTGTCTGCACTTAATGATGCATAAAATAAATTTCTGTAATTAATTAAGTTTTAGGTATGCACTGACAACTTCTCTATTTTAATATGTTGCACCATAATAAATCATTTAAACACAATAAAATAATAATTAAAATGATGCAGCATGTAAGATGGTTATATCTATCTTCTAACTTTATTTTTATGACAACTTCAAAGTATATTTTGTTGAATTAATATTTTTTAAATTGTAATTTAATATCATGGTAATCAAAATATTAGCTCTTATTTAGCAGAATAATGGATTTTTAAAAAAATATACTTCAAATCATTGCAAGACGCTTAAAAATGAGCAACAGAAAAACTATTTCTCTAACATTTCTAGGACATTCATCACTGGAAACATTTTAGATTCTGTCTCCATGATGATGGGACAAACGTTCTAAAAATATTAAATAAAAATTTATTACTACTTGTTACTAAATACATTGTAGTAAATTTAGAAGACACAGCTACCTAAATTTTTTTAATACATCTCTTTCAGTTTCAATTCTTTTCTAAATAATAATGAAGATAATATCATACTTCATTTTCTCCAAGAATATTTTTTAAATTTTGAAAATGATCAGTGCATATAAATAATTCAATATGCTAATATAAGCTTAAAAATAATTATATGAAATAATTTATAATAGTAATGATTTATTATTCTATAGTTTCATCTTTCATTGACTCTTATTAAATTAAACAGTCAAAACCTTAATAAGTTAAGCAGTCTGGTTTTTATTTGATAATACATTTTTTCAAGACTAAACTATTCAGCATCAGATCATATAAAAAAAAATATATATTATAAAGCCATTCTAAAGCTGTTGGTTAACATTTGATCTTATTCATTTCACAAAAAACTCAAAATCCACAGTTAGAATCCAAAAAATGAAGTTCAAATTTACACAAACATAATATTAATATAATAAAAACAACAATAAAAAAAATTATCATTTGCTAAAAAGCAAGAACTTTGATTACTAACCTGAAACAATAAATATACAAAACTTTAACCTGTGAGATGAGATTTACTTTTTTGTTAGTTAAACTATGAGGTTTGTATGGCTTTATGTAATTAATTTGTTTATCTCAGTTTTTAATTTCACTTAATTGATATTTTAATTTTTATCTTTTCATATGTTAATGTTATGTTTGTGTAAATTTGATTTGTTTTTTGGATTCTAACAGATTTGAGCTTTTATTGAACAAATAAAATTGAATGTTAACCAATAAATGGCTTTAGAATGGCTTTATGATATATTTAATTTAGAATTCCACTTGATTTGATCTGATGCTGAGACAGATTAGTCTCAAAACATTTTATGAAATAAAAACAAAACTCCTTAACTTCTTATTATTCTGTATTTTAAAACTTCTGCATATGAAATAGCAATTAAAGTCATTAATTCATATCAAAATAAAAAACAAATTTTACTTTGTCATATAAAATAGAAACTTCTCATTCATATCAATCAAAAAGACTAAATACACACATATTTTTTTAACAACTCATAATATTAAAATTTATAATCCTATTTTTGGTCTTCCTTAATGAAATCAACTTTTCACTAATAAGATATACTGTATGATACAGTTGAAAACCTTTAACGTTTAACTATTACTTTTTCAGCCAGTGGTGCACTCAGGATTTAGTCTTGGGAAAGTGAAGTTGAACAGATAAAATTTTCAATACGGATTGAACAAAATTCCCACCATATGTAACCACTAATTCATTCATTAGTAGTATAGAAATTGAAGACATGACACAATATAAATAACAAAACAAAAGGATTTTAATTTGGAAAAGATTTTTGGAAAATTTTCTGGCATTTTTCCTTTTTCTTTGGGGAGTGCCAGGACTCTTTAGCTCCCCCTCTGGGTATGCCACTGTTTTCAGCTATAAAATATTGATTTTTTTATGATTAATGAAAAATAATGTATACAAAAAAAATTATTAAAAATATTTTTATACACAATTTTAAGCTAAATTATATTTTTTATAGTCTTTTTGATTGATATATTTGATTTATATCAATAAAGTATCATAAATTAGTAATGTAAATAGAGGTCTTTAATCAGAATGTAATGAATGTAAATTATATAGAAATATTTTCCAATTAAAAGCAATAATATTTGAAAGGAATGAACAGATACAGATCACAACCTTTTCATCATTATAATTGGATTAAATCACTATTTGCTTGTAATAAAATAATGAATACAATATATATATTTGTATTATATAATATTCTGTCATCAAATCAATACCTTTTATACTTTTCCAGTAAGAGGTTTAAGATATAAATGAACAAATGTTTTTGGTTTATTTCATAAATATAGGTAATCAAGTCACCATTATTTGATAACATTAATAAATGAGTTTACATATGTCTAATCCAATGGTTCTTAACCAGTGCTCCACAAACCTACCTCAAGTGTTCCACAAAAGAAAAGATTTTAAAGTTTTTATTCAAATTTATTCCCATTGCTATTCATAGATAATTTCATGTTTCTATTTTATTCAATATATTAAAGTTTATTAGTTTATTGCTTTGTTATTTCTTGAGAATAATAAACATAGAACTGATTATCAATTTTTGAATGTATTGATGCTAGTGCTCCATGTAATAAAAAGTATATAAATGGTGTTCCACAACTTCAGAAAGGTTGAGAACCACTGGTCTAATCTCTCAAAAATTAGGTAATGGCTGTAGATTCAAATCCATTCCATTTGTGTATGAATACATAGAGCTGTACAGAGTAATTATGGGTCCTGATGCTAAGGCCCTCTAGATCTCTTCTCTACTTTGGTTTATCACATTACTTTGTTCTCTTTTTATGCACTTTAATATTGCACAAATTGATTTTCTAAACTTTGTTTAAAAATTAAAATTTTTATTTTAGGTTCTGGTTTCAGTCCTTATAATTGGCCAGGACCCAGGACTACAGCTCCAAGTTTCCCACTTGTTGGACCAATATGCATAGTAGTATCTGCTTATGGTAATCAATTTGGAACTTCCCAATACTGATGATAATAGCTGGCTACTTTATGCAAATTAAGTAAATAACACTACAATTAGCAGATATTTTGGATTTATTGATTCTGACATTAAAAGGACATGTTCAAGCAATTAAAAAAAAAAAAAAAATGAGCAACTTGAAAATTTAATTATAATCAATGCTCTTTTTCTAAAAAAAACTAATATTAATATACATATATAGTGACTGAACATACAATATTGTTTTTACTGAGCAACTGCCATATCGTGGCTGAAAAATAGCCGATTGTAATAATTATTTTTAACTAATAATAATTCATTCAACATATAGTTGAAGTAACAAATGCCAATAATTTAAACTATTGTATTACAAGCAATAAACATTTAACTTCTAAAGCACTTATTAAGACTATTAACAATTGCACATTATCAGCCAAATTTTGAAGTTGACAATGCAAAAAAAAGCTTAAAAAGTGCCTATTTACCTGAAGATAAAACCAACTATAACCAAGTTCTGATTACAATAAGTGTAGTTTTATAAATAGAGTGTTGATTACCCAAAATAATCAGGGTGAGACATTTTGGATAACTAATACACTTGGTAAGAAAAGAATAAGAAAGATAAATACTGTATCTTAAAATCAGAAATTTTGCTAAAAAATATTCTCTCAAAAATATCTTAAAATTAAATGCATTTCAGTTATACTATTAATGATTATAATAATAATAATTTATTTTACTTTGTTCATTCTTTAGAAAAACTATTCCCAACAATTTTTTTTTTTTTAAATGATTCTGAAAGAAATGAAAAGCAAAATTTTTACTCTTTTAATAAAAAAAATTATTTAAGATAAAACTTATATTACTAAAAGTTTAAAGAAAGATTAAA